AAAAGCGCATTTAAAGTTTGAAGTATTATATTATTACTTATATCATATTAATATTATTAGAAGGCTGCCATTCTCAAACTATTTGACTATCCGACCTTGAAATTTTAATATAATATTCTTGAAGGTATAAACTTTCGGAAAATGAGAAAAAGATTGATTTGTCGAAAAATTTGATTGGTATAGCCCCTTAAAAAGTTGATATTCGGTAATTTGTGTCCATAAATAGTGAAAATACGTTTATTGTAGAGAAATATCGGTACTTTTTCCGAATGAAACTGCAAAATCATTTAATCTCTTTCAATAATTGATCTGAGCGAAGCATCGTTCCGTCTGATAAGTTGAAGAGAATTAAAATGAGTAGACGAGTGAAGATCAGTCGAGCCGGCGCATAGCATTCAGATTTATTTTTATTAATCCCGTTTGATCGAGCCGGTTGCCAACGGAGGAATGCGTTCAAGTCGGAATTTACCAAAGTATATCGCGGTCGTTACGGCGTTCGCCAAATATTTCGCGGCGCGGGCAAACATTTATGGTAGACTCTAAAACTGCATTCGCGCATCTCTCTCGTCGGGAATAAGGAGGTAAATTTTTCTCGATTTCCCCGGTACGAGCCGTGCCTCCCTCTCTTCAAAGATTCAACGCGACTTTAATCTTGGACGAGTTCTCGAAACCAAACACGAATTTCTCTTGCGAATCCATGGGATAGGAACGAACAAGTCTTATATATTTTCGTCTAACGCTTTTAGAGGGAACCGGTTCGGATTAACACTGATGGTTAAGCGCGATCCTGCAGTTTTACGGTGTATATTAGCGAGCTGGCTTGTAATCGTCAAGATCTCACGGTGAAAATACATTTCAGACGGGATTTCACCGGGACGAACAAATATATATTGAACGAATAAAAATGATAGCTGGCGATGTGGTACGAACAATGTTTTCTATCCTACGGATTACACCGGACTATAATTGAATTTTTCAAATAAATTTCGAAACGATATTCACAATCCGGATTATATTATTGTAGAAAATGTAGCTCTGGGAATTTGATATTATTTCAAGCTTAAGCACGGTTTATTCATAAACATTTGCCGCGATATACGCAGGTAATGGCAACAACAGTTATCAGCGAATTGCATATACAGAGAAAAGGTAGTTCCTGGGAAACACGGCAATTTAGAATGAGTTGTCGCTTAAAAACACGACGGCGATTTTTTCCCCCTGGCCAGTACATTATCGTACCAAAAACGCGTTTACTGCGACCGCATTAATAT